GGGCGGGGCGGCGTCGGCGATCGAACACACGGGTGGCGCGCGGCGCGCCCTGCCGCAGACACTCTCGCATGTCTTCCCTGGAACCCCGCCAGCCCCCTCTTCCTAAATTTACGCGGGCGTTACAGCCTGCGTAGTCTCTCTCTCTCTCTCCCTGGAACCCCGTCTCCCCTCGCCGCCACCAGCCCCATGCTCCATGTCGAGCCGTCTACGGCCTCATGAGCCCCCTCACCCGCCATCCCGCGGCCCCGCGCCACCTTCCGCCCGCGCCCCCCCTCCGAAATGACGAGACGTGCGGACCCCCAAAGCAAGGGGCGCCGACCCACCCAGTCGCGGGCCTGGCCCCTCCCAAGATACACCCCAAACCCCAAGACCAGGAAGGCAAAGGACCACACCAGCATGTTGAGGGCCCCGCGTACCTTTCCTCCTCCCACGCCCCCCATCGTCAAGGGGCCCTGCGCTTTCAGCCCCAAAGGACACAAAGGGCCCCCTCACCCGCCATGTTGAGGGCCTCGTACTTTTGGCCCTGGTTGGCGGCGCCGTCGCCGTACATGGTGATGCCGATGTTGCGCTTGCCCTGGTACTTCTTGGCAAAAGCTGGGGGTGGGGAGGTGGGTGTGAGCGTGAAGGGGTGTTGTGTATGTTGCGTGTGTGTGTGTGTGTGTGAGTGTGCGTGTGAGAGAGAGTGTGTGTGTGTCCTTGGTGTATTTTGGTGTGTGTGTGAAGCAGCAGCAGCAGCAGCAGCAGCAGCGGCGGCGGCGGCGGCGGCGGCAACGGCAGCAGCAGCAGCAGGAGCGCAGGTTGTCGCCTTCCCGCCTTGCCGCGCCGAGTCAGCCAAAGTCAGGTGCCCCCAGATCCCTCTCACCGAGCCCAGTGCCCAGGGGGATCTGGGCCCCCACGATGCCGTTGCCCCCGTAGAACTCAGCCTGCTTGTTGTACCTGATCAGCGGGGGGACCACATTTATAATTGTGGGCGATACATGGTGACGATGGGCGGCGTCAGAGGCGAGGCGGGCGCTCAAGCAGGCGCGTCGCGGGACGGCAGGGTATGAGTGCGCATTGCGCACCCAGCCAGGGCCCCGGCACACCAAAGAGACGGCAGCCCATTCCATGGCGCCCCGTCGCGTCCTGCCCTTCCAGGCACCCTCGTCGCCGCCGCCGCCGCCCCTCCGCACGCCGCAGGCCGGCCCATCACATGCCAACCCCCCCTCCCTCCCCCAGGCTCACATGTGCATGGAGCCGCCCAGGCCCTTTGAGGCGCCGTCCACCTTGCCCATAAGCTCCGCCATCACCTGAGAGTGTTGATAACGGTCGGTGGGGATTACAATCATGGTCAGTGTGGGGTTGTGATGACGCACAGCGAGGATTCCAACCTGGCTGTCGGGATGTCGGTTGCGGTCGGCTGTTTCAGCGGGGGCCGAACGCGTGTGGTTACAGCAACAGTGAAAATGTGCGTGGGCAAGTGGGGACCATGGCCTATGAGGGTGCCTCGCTGCATGATGCATGCACCAGCGGGCGGCGGTGAAGCCTGTCCCAAAACGCAGCAGGGGCCCCTTGAACCGGCAAGCTGGCAGACGTCTGCGTGCGCGGCGGGCGCTCCGAAATGCGGCAGTGGCAGCAGGCGCCGCACCTCCTTGACTGTGCCACCGCGTGACAGGTGCTGGCAGTGGTCCCTAAGAAAAGGGGGCGCATCGCACGGCGCAAAATGCTCGAGTCTCGAGGGGAAGGCAGGCGTCACGGCGGGGCGTGAGGCGGCGGGGTGCCGCCGCGCGGGCTAGGGCCGTTGCGTTTGGGTCGGGAGGTGGGTGCGCCGCCGCACCGCTGCCTGTGCGTGCGGCGGTTATTCGTGACAATCCGTGGGCCGCCACGCGCAAGACCCTGATAGAAATGCCACCCCCAGTCACCCTTTTTCGCCCAGCAGACAGTTTGTTCCCAACGCGTCCTGCCCAAAACACCACCCATCGTTCCGCCCAACTTCCCGGCAGCTTCCCACCAGCTACCAATAGCTTCCCAACCGCCCCCACCTGTACGACGTGATCACCGCGTCGTCCCGGGTGATGGCGTACTCGATCCCCGTCATGACAGCCTCCTGCCCGTCGTACCTGTAGCCATAAAAAACCCAAGCAATCGTCATTGGCCGGGCGCGCAGCCCAGTCTGCTCTGCGGCGCCTCCCGAACAGCCGCAGCCGCCCGCGCCGCGGCCGCGCCGCGCCCAGCCCTCCTGCTACTCCTGCAGCCTGCCGCCGCTGGCCCGTCTCGACTGCCCCCGCGACATCACCGACGCGAGCCCTCACCCAGCAAGTCCAGCATTCGCCCGCCCCCGCTTTTCGCCCCACCCGCTGCGCCCTCGCCCACCAGCCCCCCTCATCTTCTGGCGTCCACGCCCCCCGTGCACAGCCCCCACCCTCCTCCCGCTCCTCTAGCCCCCTCACAGGTGGCAGAACCCGCGGATAAGCTTAGCCTTGTACATCATGTCGGCCGCGATCTCCATGCGCCGCATGGTGTACATCAGCTCGTACCTGACGCGGCGTCATGATGACATCACCACAAGGGGGAGGGAGGCCGGTGGGCAAGGTCGCGATTGGGGCGGCGGGGTGCCAACTTTTGGGGGGTGGGTGCGCCTCATTGCGCGTGCGACGCCGCTGGCGACGTGGCGGGCGTCGACGTGGGTTGTAAGCGCTGCGGCTGGCAGTCTGCAAGCACCGCGTGCGCCGCGGCTGCGCGGCCAGGAGCGGGGCCTTACATGGAGGTCAGCTCGGCGATGGACGTCTCCACCACGTTGGAGGGCGGCTCAATCCTGTGCGCCTTGTAAGGCATGACCTGCGGGCGGTGCCGGGGGGCCGGAACCATGGAGCGCCGCCGCCGTTAGGTCATGCCGCGCGCATTGCAGGTGCGCCTGCCAGCGGCGGGGGCGGCGGTTTCACTGCAGAAATGACCGCTTTGTACGACATCTGCGGTGCTGACGGGCTCCACGGTTGACAAATGGAGCAGGCAAAGCCTTCACGAGTGGTGCGGGCCGCCGGACTGCCAACGGCGCCGAGCGGAAAAGGGTGGCTGACTGGGGCGATCGCCCGCGCACCGCCTGCCGCCCCGGTGTGTGCTGCCACCTCTTGCGTGAGGGTGCCGCGCTGTCCCCATGGCTCATAATCTTATGACATTAGTGCTTCGTACAAGCGATACGCCCTGCCTCTGCACAGAGGCCGTAGCCCTAGTGCCCACTTGGACGCGGTGCCAGTGCGTGGGGGCCTGGAGGCCGCAGATCCACTCCAAGCCGCACCTCTATAGTAATCTTGTCATCTGCGGCCGCTGCGGCAAAGCTGCGCTGCAGGACGCGGCCCAGCACGGGTAAAATGCCGCTGCTAGATCGACAGCTTTGCTGCAGGAGCGCCATGGCTACAGCTGATGTTGAGATACTATTCCAATACAAATAAGGCTTGGTACGGTATGAGACGAGCCTCTGGATCTCTAGAGGTCACCGACACCATCAAAGCATGCACACGGGAGCAGCACTCAAGAGGAAGCGGGGGAGCAGCAGAAGCAAAGTGAGGCAGACAAAAGCAGGGCGCAGGTTCACACTCGCAGCGTCCAGTAGCTTTTTGTGTATCAGAGGTCTTCAGGGTCGGGGCGTTCGCGTACAAGTTCGCCTGATCGCGGACCTTGGCAGCCCACAACCAGAAGAGCAGCCATCGGCCAGGAGGCGCACAAGGGGAGTTGAAAGGGTCTCATAGAAGCTGACGAAGGTGCGGACGGTCTATGTGCAGCTATCACCGAGCTCGCGCGGCGTCTCCCGCCGCCCCTGTCGCGCCCGCCGGCTCAGCCTGCGCCACTCGCACGCTTGCGCTGCGGCAGCTTGTGCTGTGTTTCATGACTGGATTGAAGAACGTACACAACAGTACTTGAAGCTAGGACTCCACCTTGGGCAGCCATCCCTTGTCGCACGGGTGGACGCATATCGGCGCCCTCGCCCCAGCGCTTGGGGCGTTGCGGGCGTGGCGCCGTCTTGCTGCGGATGTCCGGCACGTGCTAAATCCGCTGCGCATGGTAGCATCAGTGTGAGCTTCATTGTCACAAGCCGGTGTGAGCGCTCAGGCGTACCCTGCAATGTCCGCTCTCCCCTTGGCAGACCTCGAACCGCAATGGGGAAGGCCAAGGTGAGGCGGCTGCACCACCGGCGTATGTCGTGGGCGTGCGTGCCCACCACCGCCGCATGTCAGCACATGTGTGGTGCTGTTTTGAGCGGCTTAAAATGTTTACAGCTCAGCACCCCAACGTACACCCAAAGCTCACGCTGTTGCCTTGATGTTCCCACCCTAACAGCCCGCCAAGCACACAGCGGCTGAAATCAAGGTGGGTGCAAGGGCCACAGCGGCCGCAAAAAGCCCCCAGTCCGGGGCGCCGCGGCAGCATGAAATGACTCACAGCAGCGCGCCTCGTGTCGACGGCCCCTGCGTGTTTCGGGCCCGCGGGCGGGTGTGAGGCGCTCCCGCTGCGACCCGCCGTGGCTGCCGCCCCGCGCTCTGCCTTGACGCCAGCGCGGCCAACTGTCCTTACCAGCGGGCTACTCTCAGCCGAACAGGCTCTGCTGGATTTTTTGGACCCACGCACCCTCTCTCAAACATCTGACTTTACAGGCTAAGGTCCACGCGGCCACCGTCAACAAGGGCGGCGGCAAGGAGGGCCTGAAGGACCGCCTGGGCGGTGCCGCCGGCCACGCGCGCTACCGCTGCACCATCTGCATGCTCACGGCGCCGAGCATAAAGAACATGCAGGCGAGCGCCCGCGCACGTGCCAGGGGCCAAAGGGGGCGGCACCTTGCGCGGCCCACCTTTGCCCCGCCTTGCCACTGCCTCGCGCGTGCTCTATGGAGGCGGTTGCGGCCCTTTGCATTGAGCAGATGCAGGGCAGCGGAAGCTGATGCTAGCGGGTAGTTGTCTTCTTGGGCCGGAAACTCGGCATCCAAGTTGGTTCTGCCCTGGGCTTTTTTACTTGAATCCTACGCCTTTGCACCGAGCTTTGCTTGCTGATCACCCCTTTGCTCAGCTGTTCACCACCACTCTTTGGTAAACAAATGTGCCCCTTCCTCTGGCAGGCACACCACGAGTCAAAGCACCCGACGGTGCCGTGGGACGAGTCCAAGGTTGAGGACACGCACGCCGCTACGGGCGGCGTCACCACGGCGGGCATAGCTGTGCGCGGCTCCAAGAAAAAGTAGAGGGGCGCGGCTCGGCCTCAGGCGCGGCGGGCGGCGCGAAGGGCTGGGGCGGGCGGAGGCGGCGCGTGCTCGCGGCCGCGCCCAGCCAGGGCCCCGTTTGCGTTGAGGCGCCTTCCATGAAACATTGAAGGATTCCAGCGGCCCATAATTGTGACCACTCGAAAGGATGCACCCGGCCGCCTGAGGGCGCCGAGTGCACAGCCCTCGCTATACGCTGACCAGGCCCGTGTGGACTCGGCTTCCATTGGCATCTGCCCTTACGTCACTTTCTTAACCACTTCTCATCTCGCTTGTAATTGTCTAGCATCTCTTGTGTTATGATGCACGACTCGTCCTTGGTCTAGACAAGTGTTAGCAGGTTTGGGAGGCGGCAGGCGGATGGTGGCAGGGTTGTGTCAAGGGCCGATTGCTCGCAGGTTGTGGGGTGGGCGCGCTGTATGACTTGCTGCCACCCCACATGGAGGAAGCCCAACTTGAAACGCACCCACAAGAGGTGTGATGCGGAGATTGATGCTGGTGGGTGGGTGCTTGAGTGATGTTAACGTAACAGCGACGTGAGTGCCAGCTTTGAAAGAGGCTGGCCAGACGCTTATCACCTTGCAGAAGCACACGTGGGTGCAAGCTTGCACCCTCTTGACTGTGGGAGCGAAATTTGGCCGCCGACAAGGCGTACCGAGGCGAAATTTGCAAAACATTATCACCAAGGTTTGGCGCTCGCCGCGAATACGGCCACACAGAGGGTGCTGGTGCCAACTGGATGTTGATTGGCAACCGCGGGCCACACTGGCGCTTGCCTAACAGCTTGCGCCGACCTCTTCCTGTGCCTGGATGGAGCGCCACCTCGGGCGCGGTACGGCGAGGTATAATGGTGTTGCTGTCACCAAATGCAACGCTCTAACACAAGTGTTTCAGCGACGGCACAGCCCTGTGCGCCGTCACTCCTAGGTCCCCCAGGCGCGAGTGGGAGCCCTGATGCTTGGAGCTCGAGGCTCAGGCCGGGCTCCCTCCTGCAGAGCCAAATCAAACCACCCGGCGGCAGGTTCAGCCGCCTGCGCGACTGCCCCCCCCGCCGAGCCCCCGCCGCTCAGCTCCTCGTCAGTCGCGCCTGGGCCCTGCCGTGGCTTTCGCCCTGCATCTGGACCGCAATGCACATGCATGCGGAGGCGAAGGGCATGGGCATGGGGGTTGTCGCAGGGGTAGGGCTGAAGATCATAGCCCACTGTTGAGAGTGGGACCGCGGCAATAAAGTGCTTAAAACCGCCGTGCTACCGTCTCGATGTCCCAATGAACATGGGCGTTGTGAATGCACGGGGTATGGTTGATAAAGGGAAGAATGGGATGAGGCGCGAGGTGTAGGGGACCGCCACAGGTTGTGCCGCAAGCCGCATGCACTTGGTGCAAACACATACACTTGATGCAAATTGTTGCGTGGCACCACGCATGATGTGCCATTTGTACTGGGACCTAGATACTGCAGCGCTTCAGAAGTGCAACAGCAGAGGCGGAGCAGCCACCCTGGCAGCTCGCCGCGCAGCTGCTACTGGCTCGCCACCAGCTTTCGCAGCTGTTCCAATTAGTTCGTTTACCTTCTCCGCATCGCTGCTCACATTGAAAATTTGTTGTCGCAGGCACCTTTTTCTACACAGCCAAGTTCACTGTCAGGGGGATTGTTCTAGCATCTCGCCGCGCTTCGGATCCTCTGGGCACCACATGTTTGTGACTCCGTGATGTGCGGACCTTTCAACCCGTAGAAGCGCCGTGTTGCATTGGTTCGCATTCGAGCGAGGAGCAGTGACCCATCACAGTTCGCGAACGTGCGCAGCCTGAGCTCGCTGTTGTGCGCCGCATGCGCGATCGTGCACTTTAGGACTTGTTGGTGTGGGCCCCAGGTGTTTCTTCTTGCTGCCCACGCCGGTGCGCACAACGGCCCTGCAGTGTGCAATCAGACGCATTGCTGACGCTCTTTTGTGTGAGGCGATGCAGAAGTGCGTTATGGAGGGCTCCATTGCAAGCTCTGGCGCGTTCAGCGGTTGCCGACCTGGGACAAGTGCGCGACATGCACACACAGGTCGCACTCTGATTGCTGTCTTGGCGCGCCATGCTGACCCCAACCTCACATCCCTCGCATGCAGGCCTGCACTATTTCCGCCCCAATCACAGTGCTGTAGCTACGCATGTCGATGCCGGCGGCCGCTCTTGGCGCGCCGCCGGCCAGCGGCGAGGCATGGCACTGGCAGCCGCAGGGCGGTGAGCAAGCGCACGACGAGCAGCAGCAGCACGCCCGAGGCAGCAGCACCGGCGCCGCCGGTGCCGCCGGCCGCGACCTCATGCGCCGCACCGCCTCGTCGCCGGCGCTGCGCGCCGCGTGCGCCAACACTGGCGCCGCACGCGCCAGCGCCGGCGCGGCCTGCCCCGCGTGCGGCCCCGAGTGCGCCTGCCTCGAGGTCTTCGTCGTATCTCGCGCCTTTACCGAATTTGGGGGCCCGCTCTTCAAGCGGATGACCCCAGAGATGAAAAAGTCGCTGGTAGACCTTGGGATCTGCCATTACATGACGGTGTTCAAAACGCCGGACGGGCGCTACGTCCAGTTTGACTTTGGGCCGCGGGGCGGCGATGTGGAGAAGGCCAACGGGCCCCTAGCGGCCCTCCTGCGGGCGGCGCGGCTGCAGCAGCAGCAGCAGCAGCCGCAGCTGGCGCTGGCCGGCGGCCCCGGCGGCATGCGGGCGAGCGCGAGTGCGCCGGCGCTCGAGCTGTCGGCGGCGTTTGCGCTGGCGTGCGAGGGCAGCGGCGCCGGCGAGGGCGGCGCGTGCGGCGGGGGCGCCTGCAACGGCGGCGGCGCGGGCACCGGCCAGGCGGTAGACGCGTGAGTTCCTTGGGAGCAGGCGTGCATAGCTTTGGCAGCGGCGACTCTGCTCTGATCTGATCCAGGGTTTGATGTGTGGAGCGGGGCTCAACAATTGACGCTTCTGCGTCACCAGCGTGGGGCACGCGGATGGCTCTGTTCTGATTGAGACGGCCGCTCATGGCAACGCCACCTGCTTTGCTCCTGAGCGGGCCGGCCGCTCTCACGGCTTTCGACCCTGCGACACGACGCGCGACCCCGGGAACGCACCCCGCCCCTCCTCACCCCGGCAGCTCAAGGGGCACAAACGGCGAGATCCGGGAGCGCATCTTAGACGAGCTCCCTGCGGCGCACATGTACGTCGGCCGCACCAACCTTAGCCTCGACGATGTGCGGTCCTACAACCGAGGGCATGCCAAGCAGTACCGCCTGCACGAGAACGACTGCAGGTGGGTCAGGGGGCGTGCGTTTGTGTAGGTGTAGACATCACGCCACGCGGCAGCTGGCAGCCGCGCCCTGGCTGCTGAGCAGTCGCGTGGGTGTACTCCGAATCGTGAATGCCACCTGTGTTCTAGGAAGCCTCGAGGCTCGAGGCCTCGGCACGCTGCGTCGCCCCTTCCGTCGGGCGCCGCTGGAACTCGCGCCCCACGCCGCCGGCGCCGCGCCGTACCGCGCCGTACCGCAGGCACTACGTCAACCAGCTCGTGCAGTACGCCACTGGCATGGAGCACTCCACGCAGCACCTCAAGCGCCACCACTTCCGCACCCGCTACGACGCGCGGCCCCCCTGGCTGCTGCACAGCTGGTTCGTCGAGGCTGGGCAGTTCGCGACCGACATCGGCAACTGGTCGCGTCTGCAGGCCGGCGGCGCCGCAGGGCTGCTGGCGGTCACGGGGCGTGCGACGCTCGCGCAGTTCAAGGCGCTTGCTGCTGTCGCGCACGCAAAGGGCCTCGCTGCCAGCGGTGGCCTGCTGGCCGCCAGCGGGGCCGCGCCGCTGCCGCCGCTGGCGCCGCTGCTGCGGGCGGCGCAGCTGCACATTAGCGGAGCGCTTGCCGCGGCGGCGGCCGCGGGCGCGCCGGGCGGCGCCGCGGCGGCGGCAGCAGTGAGCCCTGCGGGGGGTGCCGCCTTTGGGGGATTCGGCGGGTTTGCGTCCCTGCTCGCGCCCACCGGGGCGGCCGCGGCGGCCCTGCGGCGCCCGCTCGCG